CATCCATAAATAAAGGTAAACTGATAACAAAAACTTTAAAGTGATACAGTGGAACTCGGATTCAACTAACTCGGATTCAACTAAATGAGTTGGATTACCCCCCTTTTTTTCTCTCATAAAAGACAATAACAAAAATAACTCGAGATTCAATGAACACATAAATTAATAAATGAGCAAGCTCGATTCAACAAAATTGATGGTCAGCCCAGACAAGTTAGTTGAATCCGAGTTCCACTGTATCAGTCGGGAAATGACAAATTGTACGAGCTATCCGTGATTTTAAGTTTTCTATGTTTGTGTTATATGCGTGCCTGACTGCATGAGACTGGCATCAAGAAAGAAAACTAAATGGACGGTTCCTTTAGAGATGTGAATTGTCTCAAAATATTGATTATAAGTTTTTAAAAAACAAGCTGATACAAGAAAAGAGATTGCAGCGGTATATACATGCATTAAAAAAAGCCAGAAGTAAAGAGAATGCAGCAGTATCTACATTTATTGAACATTTTAAAAAAGAACTAACCATGTGTTTCCCCTTTGTCTGAAAAGCTGAAGAGGTAGTTCTTAAACTTAAAGCTTTACAGAGAGATACAACTTTTTAACCCCGTCTGTACCACTCTGTTTATATCTGGTACATCATGGATCTCGGTTCGGACATGGATATTTTTTCCCCCCTCTTGCCCACCCAGCAGTAATGGGTACCTGACTTCGAGTTGGGGAAGTAAAGGCGGCGTGGAAAGGAACAGGCCATCATACCACATTATGCTGAAGGCCCAGGAAGTTGTCTCACTAACAAGGCAATCCCCAATGTCTGTATCGGATGCAGGAACAACTTTACTTTTTACATCATGGAATTGCACAATTTTCCACATCTCGACGTACCAGAGAATGAAAAAGACGTTGTATTGAGAGGGTTAAAAAGTAGGCTCTACAGGATGTTTCTGGAGTCCAGTATACTTATTCAACAAACATAGAAAAGAGAAAGCATTAGTGAGGCGTGCTGACAAAATGAGTTACTTCTTGTAACCCACAAATGGAGATATTGGGCAAAAGTCGACACTGGGGTCAAAATCTGTTGATTTTCTATTGATGCCTCTTAAAGTTAAAGTATAACATGCCTTTTATTATTTCATACTTGTAAATAGTTTAAAAAACCTTCATCTATAAGCAGGATGTATCTTTTTCCATAGGCTCAAATCCGAGAAGTAACTCATTTTGTCAGCACGCTTCACATTAAATATAATGAGTTTATAATGAGGTTACCATATAGCCCTGGCAATCTTGTGCGTTGTTCAATAAACCCCAGGCAAGACCCACAGTGTAAGACTCCGAGACATGCTTGTTTTCCAAATGGAGAAGGCTCTACGTCAGAATCTCACACTAAGCACTCCATAACTCAATATGTAACAACAGCCGTAAGCATGATTTTAAAGAGGTTAATATTAACATCAACCCTGTCTGTCTCTTACAATTGCAGAATACATCCACATGATACAGGGTGCCCATTGGCACGATCAGGTTGGGTCGGTTTGCTAGCCAGATTGAGAGCACAAAGCGGCTGTAGTGGCAAAACCCCATCACACCCAACTCTTTGCCTCAAAAACAAATGCATTTGTTTTCAGAAGGCAAGTCAGGCGATTGACCCGACCCGACCCGACTCGACCCAATCCCATCCGTAATGGGCACCCGCTATAAGACAACATGAAAGAAGAGATGCAGATGAATGAGAACGATATTAACATGAATATCAACCCTGTCTATCTCTTGTAGAGCACATCCACATAAGACTAGATCTACATGAAAGAAGAGATGGGAATGTACATTAGGAAAAAAGAGGAAGTTAATTTTGCCTTTCCATCCAACAACAAGGTTTATGATTTCCTGAGCAGTAAATTTGAATTTAGGTCATCTAAAAATAAATTTAAAATATAATCAGACTGATGAAAAAAAACCCAACCCATTACAACTTGACTTAAGCAAAGGAATCTACCGGTCAAATACACTTGCGAACGAGTAGATCAGATGTGTGGAAAGTTCATCAGCACTTGTCGTCCCTCTCGGTGGTGGCCACAAACAAGAACCAATGAATGAAAGGTCAAGGACTTACGGCATGTCATTTAATGTTGGTACAAGAGTAAAAAATCTCACTTGCTCTGGCTTGCAAAAGACAAAGAATCATGAACTGCGACAGACAGATGAACGCACAGTGCCATCGCACTCCTCTTTGCCCTTTCCCCTTTGGTTCAAGTGATTTTATGTAACCAGAAAAGAAAAGTATAAATATTGCAAGCTGGTCAAAGCTTCCACACATATATGGTGACAATGTATATGATACGGGCTACTCAAAGGAGTAAAAATACAAAAATTGCGGTATCAAATTTCACAAAACAACAACTAGTACCATCTGCTTTGTTGAAGTTTCAAAAAGAATAAAATTAAATGAGTACCAGTACCATCAGCAATGCTACAGTTTACACATATCCCCCCACCCCCCACCTTTCCCCAACCCCAAATTGTCCAAGTTGAATTGAAAAAACCCAAAAAACAAGTAACAAGTATCACAGTTTTTAAACTAAATTTTTACCATGTATATCTTTAAATACTCCAACCATTTCTGCTAGCAAAGTTAAAACCAAGGCCAGCTATGAGCTAACTTGAAGATAACCAACTTGTGTCCTGCGCACTCATACGACCTTAAGCAGCTGCAAAAACTGTAAAACTTTTATCAAACCCAATCAAGTAGTTAAAAAAGAACAAATTTTAACTTTATTAATTCTTTCCCATCAACTTTGAGAGTATAGTTTTTTTTAAAAACAACAACCAAAAATCATCTTCTATCCCCATTGCTCCTGAATCTCAGGTGAAAAAACAAACATACACATCAATTTTATTGCTTACAATCCAAGACAGGATACAAAAATGAATCCAATCTTCAAAACTTCCGATGCATTTAAAAAAAACTAAAAAAAAACAACTAAAATATATTAAAAAAACAACCTGCATTCATTGTTCATAATTTTGGTTAGCAGAACTCTCGAACCACAAGAACAACAACAACAACAACAAAAAAAGCAATTCAAACTTCGTTGCTTGATTAGGATTGGCAGAAACAAGAAACATAATATATACTGTTTTCGTCAAATTATAAAAGGGGAGACAAACCGGGGTAAAAATGTTACAATCTTCATAGCTGATAGTGATATATATGTCACATCATGTAAAGTATGGCCAGTCGGTCTGTGCACATGAGGATATTCCATCACCACTAGACGACCAACAAAACTATTCCGCTACAATAAACGTACAAGATCTCCGGGGAAGTGGCATCGATAGCTAGTGGTTAGGCTACTTTTTACTTTTCCGATCCAGGTGGTTAGGCTACTTTTTACTTTTCCGATCCAGGTGGTTAGGCTACCGGACTCGTAATTGTGAGTTTGGGGGTTCGAGCCTCAAGTCTGAAGCTGTTTGCTTAGGAAAGGCGCTTCATCCTGATGGGAATAGGTTCCCGGCCATAATAGCGAAAGATCTTGTCAGATTGTTAGTGTTTTAGCGCCTGTCAAATGGCAGCTTGCACTGTATGCTTCCAACGAAGTTGAGATTGTATTAGAATGCTATCAGATCTACTGGGGCAGATTGTAAAGCGCATAGAGCTTGCTGTTGAGGGGGAACTTGCTATCTATTATTACTAATATAACATGACTGAAGACAGAACAGAACAAACCATTTCTCAACAAAGTAATTACCGTAACAAATGTTATATTCTGTTTAAAAATAACGGAGTGCATAATTGGGCATATGGCTTGTGCATATATATATTATTACATAATTCTAAAAAAACACAGACCTTAGTTTAATACTGGAATGTGACCTCATCATATCAAGTGAACCGTACATTCAATATTACTTTATGTCACATCTTTAGGTTCACGCTATCTAAGGTTCGCTGCAAGCAAAATAGAAAAAATAGGGATATCAATTTTCATCGTATAATGTTGTTATTTTACGATCCATCTTGAACATAAAAGGATTGTTTAAAATTAATAAGATCAATATTTGGAATAATTTTCTTTAGTCAGAACACAACGTTTCATGTTACTGTTGTATGTTGTACTGTATTGTAAAGCGCTCAGAGCCTGTGTACTTTATTTGGGGTTGAGCGCTATATAAATGTCATTTAATATTATTATTACTATTATTATGCAATAATCTGCAATGCAATATCTGCTTTAAAAAACAACAAAAATTCTTTCTCCTCAGGTAATCGGAATACTGGAAGCGAGGTATGCGGTATTCAGTTTTATCATAACAGATTAGAATCACACAGATGATTAGATCAACAGTTTAGTTCAAGACGGAAGATCAGTGACTAATTTTTGACCATCAAAGCTGGCCATTTAACTGGCAGACAAGTTTATTATCACACGAACAGGGTGAGCCGAATTCACAGCATAAAAAACCCCTCAACAGAAGGGAACAAACATCATGATATCCCACCTCCAAACACAGCATACACCTCTAAACTGACACTCAAACAGAATCAACCCAGAAAAACCACCAAAAAGCTTGCTTTGTGAGCATGTCTACGAAATAGTCCAACGCCTGCTCTTCGAATGTCTCAGACTACAGGATCTCCAACAGCAACTTTTTCCTCCCATCCCTACCACAGACAATACCCTATTGGAAAAAAATATGTGTGTGCCTCTGGAAAGGTCCCTGATCTTGAAAATTTTGGATATCACAATATGGGCATATTCTTGTAGCTAATTCAAAGCTGAAGACGCTGATTTTTTGTTTTTTCAAATAGAATCTGGAGTAGTTTTAACTCTTTAACCATGTCAGGGTGGTGGCAGCGTCCAGTAGTCGAGGTCCGTAACCATGGTTGGACGGTACCACCGTCCGACGCGAAGTTATTATTGTATTACGGTACGGGCCGAATATAAAACAGTACGAGCTTACAAGCCTTTAGTTTGACCCAGAAGTAAAAGACAAATGAATTCTATGTCTGGGTAATGCTTTATTGATCAGTTTGAAAGAAACGAGCGATTTTAAAAACGTAACATGGCGTGGTCGCATTTCCACAAACACGAGAGAATTAAGCAGAAACGTGACTATAAATTGCATGGTTAAAGAGTTAAAGATGTGCCCGATTTCGTAACACAGGGTGCAAAAACAATGTTTTGAGAAAACCCCATTTTCTAGCACATTTTTAACCTTAGGGGAAGTAAAAGATGTTGAAAAAACAATCAATAAAAATTATTATTAAGAAATGGTTTAACGTGTGTTTTCTGATGGAACAAAATTTTTGACCAAGTACAACTTTTTCGGTCTTCTCACCCCATTGCTCAAAAACCCAGCTTTGTCGACAACTGTGACCTTTCTTCAGGCATGCTCAAAAATGTAGAAGACCTCCACCTTTTTATCATGGCATTGGGGCAAACAGCACAGGCTCAAAGGCTACTGGATTAACAACAACAACAACAACAACAATAACTTCATCAAGACGACCACCGAACCATATTACTTTTGTGTAGGCTTTTTATCTCTCTTCAAGTCGGCTAGTCCGGCATTTCTTCCATCCAACATGATGAGAATGATACAGGCCAACCTGCTCTGACACCCACCTGTCCAAAACAATCACCACCTGTGCAGACGACCACTTGCTATTCCCCCCCCCCTCCCCCCCTTGTGTTTTAAAAATATTATTACAATGCTACAGTCCAAACCATCAACCTGTATAAGACTAACTTTTCTACTCGACAGTGTGCACAGGTTATAACAAGTCGTCTTACAGCAGTGCAAGAAGGCTTGTTTTCACTTATTGACCATGAACATACTGGTGTGATCCTTTGGCAAAGCTTCCATCCCCTGCCGCTCTGCTGGTGGAGCTGAAAGGGCAATGGGAGGCAATCCTGTGCCCCTCAGCGGCGGCAGAGTAATCTCCCCTTCACCCAGGCTGCCTCTCTCCTGTAAATGGTGGGGCAGCGATGGGAGTCGGTTCCTCTTCTGCGACAATTCCTCCGGATACTCAAAGCCGTTGTTGTCGTACGTGTGGTTGCTGCTGCTGCTGCTGCCTCCGTCGACAGGTGGCACAATCTGTAAACCCAGAGCCTGTCGGAGAACCGTGAGGAAACCTTTAAAAAATGTTACACAAAAATGTGTGCACACTATTGCTTCATCAGTTTCAAGTGTACTGATGTCTAGAATGTGGGAACTGTAAAGAATCATTTTGTCTTATTCCAAAATTTGTGCTCATTATTGCTCTACGAGTTTCAGCTGTAGCCTTCAGATGTCTATAATGCAGGAACCATAAGGAATCATTTTATTTATTCCAAAAAATGTGTGCATATTATTGTTTCATGAGTTTCAGGAGCACATATGTCTTTAACGTAGGAACAGTGAAGAAATATTTCATTTTATTCCAAAATTTGTGCCCACTGTTGCTTCATGGGTTTCAGGTTCCAGTGTCTGTAGCGTAATGGTTAAAAAAGCCCCCATGTATGATCTAAATTGTGACAGAGGAGACGTAAAATTACAACTGTAGTTGAACCTTCTCTAACGACCATATGTCAAACTCCTGCAAAAACTTACAAAAGTAGGTTACCACTTCCCACTGCTCTCCCCCCCCCCCCCAAACCCTTCTCTTACACTGGGCAGTAGATATGTGCCCATGAGTATGTTGGCACAACACATAATAATACTCGCCCATTATATCCAAGCTAGCCAGAACTGACCTGGGGGTAAGGAGGGGGTGGGCTGTCGTCATTTCGCGAGGAGCTCCCATCTCCCGGTCTGGCCTCCAGCGGGCCGTACAGCGGGGTGCCATCGTCTGTCTGGGATGAGGTCCCGCCCTTGGAGGTGATAAAGAAGTCCAGGTTGGGCCCCGTGCCCGACCAGTAGACGCTGACCCCATACGACCCGCCGTCTGCCTCCTCCTGATCCTCACCGCCCATGGTACCAATCTGAGACGCGTACGGAGAAAAAAACATAAACAACTTGAGTTTTCAACCATTAACTCATTCTTGACTACTGCTGTTGACGTAATACGAAACTTCAACTACCGTGCCAAAATGTTTTGTACGTCATTATTTTGTTGGCAAGCTGTTCAAGACCAGAAAGTAACATTTTTCAGGAGAGTAAAAAAAAGTGTTTAATTCTTTCGAAAATTGAACCTAGACTGTGTATCTTTTCATGCTTTTTTCAGTATTTAGAATTTGAATTCTGACCAAATATTTCTCAAGCACATGCAACCAATACCACAGATTAACTCTTTAAACCCCATCGGATGCATCCGGAGGTAATAACCCTGTTCCCCGGTGAGCATCCGATACCAGTGACAACTGTTTCGTTTCATTTAGTGCTAGTTTTTGCTTTTTTCTGAACTATTCGCGAACCAAGTTTTTAGTAATGACTAAGCCTTTGTTTCTGCCATTAGTAGAAGTTAGAGGAAAGCTTCTGGGGTTATAATGTGACATAGTGCACCGGGTTTAGGTGACTGTAGAAAAAAACTCCAGGAAACGGGGGAAATAACTCAGGGTCTAAAGAGTATGAAAGTGCAATCTAAAAATTTTATAATTTTGGCCTTATACAACAGAACATTAACTGTATACACATCTTGCCAGTTTTTAAGTAGTTGAGCGCTTAATCAACTACTTCAACCGAATGTTTTCCAGGGAGCCGAGAATGTTTCCGAGTGTTATAGTGTCTGCTGGGGTGATTATAGAGTGTAAAGCACATAGAGTTGCTGTCCATGGGTTAACACAATGCCCCCACGGGACCCCGATCGGCGATGATAAGAAGCCGTCCCTTTTCCCCACGGGACGCCGATTGGCGATGATGTGATATAGCATGTACCGTACCTGTATCCTGGTCCATGGGGATAAGCGTTAAAGCGCGCTGTGAGGGGGGAAAAGTGTTAAATGCTATAAAAATGTTATTATATTATTATTATCATTATCCTTATCATATTGTTATTATTATTATTATTATTATTATTATTATTATTATTATTATTGTTATAATTTATATTAAATCATTATTTTTATTATTATTATTATTATTACAGTGGAATCTTGTAATAACAAGAGGGATGGGGACCGGTACGAAATGTCCGTTATAGCAGGATTCTCGTTGTAAAGGATCCAGTAATAAATTCAAAGGAAATAATAAAGTAGGCCTAATCTATGAGTTTGTTGTTCTGTTTATTTATTTTTGCTATCTCCTCTGATGATGGTTTTGTTCAACATGATCTCTAGGTCTTACTTGATCAAAAATTGAATCAGGTTTCTTTCTCTAGTGTTGGCGATGTTGACAGCTCGGCGTTGGCTATCAGAACGAAAGTTCTCTAGGTTAACTCGCCCGCTGTGTTTCCCCCCACCCCACCACACCCTTTAGAGCCTTCCCGCGTCTGCTTGCGCACGCCACACATTCGCTCCATGATCCATCACAGCACTGTGACCTCTCCATCCCCGCATCAGAGAAGTGAGAGGCATGACAGGCCTAGATAATCTAGACTAGGCTTGTCTGTGACTATCAGACAATGCGTTCTGCTTCATAACGGTTTGTCTGCGCGTGCCACATCCTCCCCACTCATTCGCTCCGGCCTTCATCGTTGGCACACATGGGCTCTCCCATTCTTTGTTTTGCTTGATCACAAACAAGTTTCTCAACTGGCGAGGTTTTACATAAAGTATAAATGGCCTATACGCTGTGCACAGCGGCAGGAATATTCCTCTATAACCGACTCGCACGTTCGCTTGATTGCGCTATAACAGTATTTTATTTACAAAGATAAAGAAAGGAAAAAAACAGGGTTTTAGAATACTGTCTTTATAACAGACTTCTCGTTCTTTCAGGACTCGTTATAAGTGGACTCCACTGTATCATTATTATTTTCATTATTATTGTCATAACAATCATTACCATTATTATTACCATTATTTATTATTATTAATAATAAAATAACAAAAAGGGCAGCAGAGAAAAGGGGTGTTCCAATCTAAGACAAAGGAACAAAACTGAGATGTTCACCTGTGTGGTCTTGACGTGGTAGGGGAAGTTTGAGTTGACTTTGCTTGGGACAGTCAGAATCTGCAGAGAAGAGAGGAGACGATGAGCAGAGGAGGAGTCAATTTGAGTCGCACATTCTGTCCCATGATCAGCTTTTTGGTCAGAGAATTATGTGTATCGCCCAGTCCCATGACCAACATTTAGGTTACCATGTTACCTTTAAAAAGTTTTAAAGTATTAGTAAGAGTTTTATGGCACTTTAATACAATAAAGTAATTAATATAAGTGATAAAGAAAAGAGGTATTAAAAGAGAGTAACCAACACAGAACAGAAGGAGGAGAGATATATATGGACAATAGATGTTTGATAGGAAAAAAGGAACAAACCACACCAGATTACCTGTCAACTATCATCATAAAAGAAGTGACATAAAAGTATTGGTGATACAAACATGTATAGCAGGGTCTCAAACTCAGGACTAGCTGGCCAACTGAGGACCAGGGGGTCAACATTATGTGGCCCTCACTTGGCAACAAAATTTAGATTTAGTGTGGCCCAAACCCTTTTTCTCACATAGCCAACGCGGCTGAGTTATGTAAAATGGAAGTGCTGCCAGGTCTCTGTCAGCAAGGAGTAGAAAACAGAAGTCTATGTTGTGAAGCGCTGTATGTGCTGAACTGCTATTGATAAAGATTGAGAGAATAAATTAAGTTGGACTTTGATCATTTAAAAAAAACTCACTGAGCACTGCTCCCGCAGCATACGCGGTTCGGTAAAATTCACGTCGCACACCTCGACCGCAGCATACGCGGGTTCAACTATATTTGACTATAAAGTAAACCCAGCAGTTTAAAAATGCTTGCAAATAGCCCCAGTGGTTTAAACAGGATATTGACAAGCTAGTTCTTTGCGGATTGTGTATATTCACCACTTTTAGTGCGAATAAATGGGTTATTTGTCCAACGGACTGAACAACTGAAAGTAAGGAACTTCCGCGCAGCTCGTTGTTGTTTCTCGTAAGCGAAGCATGGCATGACGAGTAGTGTCAAAGTTTACTGAAACTTTCGATAATTTTGGTGAAGATTTAAGTGACAGTGAAGTATCAGATAGACTAGCAGTGATGAAGATGACTGAGAAAATGATATTAGATCTAGGTCTAGACCAACATCGTCTCTCGATCTTGAATCTGACTCGTCAGCGAGTACGCAGCCTGGTCCGGCTGGGGATAGGATCTAGATCTAGCCCCAGAACTAAACTCTAGTTCAAATCTGTCCTCAAAGTGGAGAAGATATATAAAGTACCCAGACCTGGGACATCTATCGACAGATCTAGTCCTAGCACTAGCTACACTGACATTGAAAACACTTCTCAGCCAGTCACTGAGGAAGATCTAGATCTAGACTCTAGATCTATTTTTTTTCTTTTTCAAAATTAATTATCACTTACATTTTTATGCTACTTCACAGTACACAATCATGCTTCATTCTCCTACACACAAACACACACGGCCACAACTATTTTGAGTAAGTTTATTAGATTTCTGCTTTGTCACATCACTTCCTTTTTTTTCTAACAATTTTTTTTCTGGGGCAAATTTGTACCAACTTTTATGTCCCATACATTTTTTGGTCATTCATTCTTCACAAAATGAGTTTATTGTGTCAGTTGAACCCATATCTTATTAAATAGCACAGAACATTTCAAAGAAATAGCAGTTCATTTCAATTTTTTATGAATTTTCAAAAAATGTGGGAAATAGGTGGTCCTCTGGGGCTTGGAGGCAATTCGGGGCGAGGTGCTCAGTGAGTTAAACTTGAAACCTCTATTTTTTTTGTGGCATACTTGATGTGGCCCAGGCCCCTGGGCAATTTGAGTTTAGTTCTAGTAAGCATTTTACAGCACTTGCAACACAATTTGGTCATTATAAGTGCCAAAGATTAAAGGTGTTACAAGAGAGTAACAAACACTAAAAAGAAGGAGAGATTTATAAGGATGATAGAGATGTTTGATTGGAAATTAGGAGCAAGAGACCACACCTGCCGGAAAACCTGCCAACTACCCACATAATTTGAGTTTGAGACACCTGGTGTGTGGGAAGTGAGGCCTACGAGCAAAGTGACAAGAGGAAGTGATAGAGCTTACGAAAAACAGGACATGACCAACAAATCCGATGAACTGTTGAACTCCGTTAACCGTTTTCTCCCGCGTCCACTTGGCCATGGCGAACATTGCCAGCAGTATGGTGATGGGGCCAGCCCAGAACCTTGAGGAGGGGGGGGGGGGGGGGGGGGGGGGGCAGGGAGGAAATAATTGGTGATGGAAGGCAACGTCAGTGATTGTGATAGAGTAGAAATTGTCCAAGACGGCCACACATTCGCTACCCTAAAATTACTAAGCTCTATCTGCTCAGTACTTAGTTTCGAGAAATTTGACGTAAAAAATTTGAGTTTCACATGCCAAGCTTTTTGCAAAAGCAATTATTTGAATATTTTTATAACGACTCCGCATAATCTTACAATTTTAATACAGCAGATAGAACATTCAAGGTTTGCGACCTCATGGTCTTAGTAATGCAAAACGGACAAAAATGTCAGACAGAACTTTGTAATTCTAAGGTAGCTCATTGTTAAGGAAAAAAGTGGTTGCCTTTAACAACAGGTGGTGGACAGCGTCATTGTCATCATAACATAAAATAAAAAACAGGAGGGGAAAGTGAGAAGTGGCTTTCGACAGGGGGTTGTTAGAGCAGGTTCCACCCTATTTAGAAGAAGAACAAAACCCACTTTAAAAAAAAAAAAAGAGATTTATCTATAGAGAGGGGTGGGTTTTAATAAAAATAAGAGTGGGATTGGGGAAGTTGGGGTGATGTGTCCGGGAGGGGGGTGAGAATGCAGGAAAGGAGAGGTGGGAAGAGGGGGTGAAGAGCAGTGTGAAGATGAAAGGGGGGGGGGGGAATAAGGAAGGAAGGAAGGCTAAGATGTGGGGTTGATGAGTAATAGGGGGATAAAAAAAGAAGGGAGAGGATGTGATAGAGGGGGGGGGGGGGTGTTGAAGGACTTAAAATGCATATTTTAAAAAGTGGAGAGGGAGCATAGAGTGGAAGTAGTGAGTAAAGGAGGAGGACGAATGGCAGACAAAGAAAAAGTGGGGGAGGGGAAGGGAGGGTGGCCTAAGGGGTAGGTGATAAAAGACAAATAAAGTTTGTAAAGTGAGAATGTGGATGCAGGGTGAGTAGGGGTGGGAGGGCATGACAAAGCAGGAGTGAAGGGAGATACATGCACATTTTTCTCTCTGTGCGACACACTGACATACGGACAAGTAAGTCACAGCAGAACTCTTACAGTAACAGAAAACACAAATGAGATGCCAAAGAAGTTTTTAAAACTACGACTCAGTCTCCATAGATCTATTATCTTTAACTTAAAAAAAACATTTTCTTTTCAAATATCGGAATGTTTTCTTTTCAAATATTGGTTAACATGATACAGAGTGTAGTTTTCTCATGGTAAAGTTCCAAAAACATTATCGTTTGCTCATTGTAAGTACTAAGGGCAATGATCTTTTAATAGTCATAAAAATAATAATAATGCATTTGTCTAGCATAAATTACCGCTCAACAACAAGCTCTGTGCGTTTTACCATCTATATTTTTACCCCAGAAGACCTGACAGCATTCTGAACAATCTCAACTTCCTGAGCAGCATACAGTGCAAGCTGCCATTTCACAAGTGCTAAACCACTAACATACTGACAAGATCTTTCGCTGTCTACGGCCTAAATGCCTTTCTCAAGGACACAATATAGGCCTAAGGCCTGAGCCTCAAACCTGCAACCTCACAACTACGAGTTTGACAGTCTAACCACTAGACTAATACCTAAAGTCTTTTGGTTTGGAACAAAACGAAGGCTGAGCACAGAAAGTGATTATTTCCACTTTTGGTCGAAATGGAGTAACCAATGAGTAGTGAGATTTCAAACACTCAGAAACATTCTCAGCATCCCGGGAAGCCTACAATACAAAGCAAGCTGCAGACTGCACGCTCTGAAACAAAAACACTGGCAAAATGACCAGATCTTTTGCTGTCTATAGCCAGGTACTCATTTGCACTCAGATGAAAAGAGGACAATTTGTGTAAAGTGCCTTTTCCAAGGACACAACATGGGACCCCTCATAGGATTCGAACCCATGGCCTTACAGTTGCGAGTCCAAGACTCTATTCATTAGGCCACCATCACCATTGTGCACCTTGGAAATTTGGCTGAGTCTTGCACTCTGCCATCAAAATGTGAACCATCATTTAACTGTTCTCATTCTCCTTACCAAACTGAAAAATAAACATTTACCCATCAAGACTTAAGGTGGAATCTACAAGGAAAGAAAAAAAGAGGAAGGCCTAAAACTAAAAGTTCTTGGTGGAAGATCTTAACTTCAGACCGAAAGGAAATGGGCTACAGCTGGACAGAGGTGGAGACAGAAGTAGCTCAGGACAGAAGTAGACGGGGAGTTCTTGTTAGTGGCACATACTCTAGGACGGGGTGAGAAAGGCCGATGCCGATGATGATGATGATGATGATACTGATGATGACTATGACGACAATGGTAGTATTATATTGATGATGATAATGATGATGATGATGTTTTTTTTTTGTTTCCTTAATGGGCCTGGTGGACTCCACGAAGAAATCTTCGAGTGAGAGCGAGGTTCTTTGATGATGATGACGATGATGATGACCAGGATGATTATGATGATGATGATGATGACTGTGACCACAATGGCAGTATTGATGATGATGATGATAATGACGACGATGATCAGGATGATTATGATGATGATTATGATGATGATATGATGATAATAATGATGATGATGACGATACTCCTTACCACACTGTGTACAGTACGTAGAAGGCAATATAAAAGCCAGCTTTCTGTTGGTAGTGTTTGAGGGTGAACACAAGAGCTTTGGTGAACCACAACCAGCCAATCAGAGTGATGACCACCATGCCATAGCCCGGCGGGCTCTCAAAGTAGTACAGCACGATGCCTGGGTCGAAAAACTGGGGAGAAAAGAGGAAAATTGAGGAAAAAACATCAAACCTTTTCGCAATCACTCCCTATTCCTCAACTCCCCCTTCCTCTCTTACACATCCCCCCACCCCCACTTTCTTTGCGTCTTCCATTTTTTTTTCACTCATCACCCTCACCTCCCATCACTCCTC